CAAAAAACTATCGGAGGATCCATTCTGGGTTTCTATTTTATAACAATGAGAACTGCTTTACCAGGCATGATGTCTGTCTCCAGGAATTGGCCCACCCTGAGAATATGCCCAAAGAATCACCATCCTTGCTCCTAAAAGCATTCTCACTGCACTTCTTCCAAGACAGATTTATTTGTTCTCCTGTCAGTCCATGAGATATGAGATAATCTTTGCCAACACCACAATTCAAAAGCACCAATTCTACTTCAGTCTTTCTTTCCAATCTTTAACTTTCACATGCATGTGAGGGGATTAGAAATACTATGGTCAAGTGCACCTTAGTCTTTTTTTTTTCTTTTCTTTCCTTTTTTTTTTTATGTGTACCGTCAAATCAGATCTGACTGGGACAGGAGGAGATTGTCCCTCCTTCTCCAGCAGAGCATCTGGTGGATTCAAACCTCATGGTTCTGGGATTGCAGTGCAGCTTCTTGCCACTAGGCCACCAGAGCTCCCTGCACCTTAGTCTTTAAAGTGATATCCTTACCTTTTTTTTCTTTAAGGAAAGAGTGTGTATTTAGAAATATTAATGATAAATTAAACTCTTTATATTTTGTTTTCCATGGAGAACATACCCCAGGACTCATCTTTCTATGTAGAACCTTCTATTTTTTAATTTGAATTGTAAGCTCTCCACAAAATTATAGAATTGCTCCCTAGCTTTAACAATAGCAATGACCCTTCTGTTCCAGACTACCATTGGAATCCTTGGGAATTTCTCACTCATAGTGCACTATGTCTTCCTTCATTTCAGTGGAGGTAGGTCAAGGCCCACAGCCTTGGTTCTCACGCATCTGACTATAGCCAACTCCTTAGCCATTCTCTGTAAAGGAGTCCCTGAGACAATGCTTGCTTTTGGTTTAAAATGTCATGACAATGAATTTGGTTGTCAATTCTTTTCATATCTTGATAGGGCGGGCCGGGGTGTATCTATTTTCACCACCTGTTTCTTGAGTGTCTTTCAGATCATCACCATCAGCCCTCTGCACTCCAAGTGGGCAGAGCTTAAACTGAAGGCTTTAAAGTATATTGGTCCTTCTATTTTCATCTACTGGATACTACACATGCTGCTAAATGCCACTGTTCCTATTTATTCATCTACAAAACGGATCACACCACCATCATAAAGGAAAACATGCCCAAATGCTGTTCTAGGAACTATGACAATGTCATGTTCTCACTCTACGTGGCACTGATATCTTTCTACAATGTTTTGTTTTTGGGGTTCAGGTCCTGGGCAGGTGGAACCATGCTTTTCATCCTCGGCGTGGTTCTTGGCTTCAATCTGAAACTGGTGCCAAACTCGGACAGGAGACCACCCACACTGGACGATCCCTCCTGGTTGATTGGCCCTTCGGGTGCCCCCTTCCTGGGCCCACCGAGACCCCACCAATGGGGCAAGAGCTCCTTACAGGTAAGCAGAGATTCTATGAGTATCTTGTCTCCTTTTCTCTTGTCTCGAAGCCCAGACCTGGCCAAGAAGATGCTCCCGTGTTCCACCCTGGTCAAAGGACGCTATGACTGCAGTTGGTGACTTTTCCCTGAAGTCCTCGATGTCCTTACTTTTTTTAGCCCCTGAAAGCAGCACTTTACAGCAGATTTGTCTGGTGCAATACATCCTTTCATATCCTGACAGCTGCTTCCATCGTTGTCAATTATGAACTCAAGTAAAATGAAACCCTTGACCTGGAGCTTTTCTCCGTTTATCCTGATGTTTCTTATTGGTTCAGTTATGATCATTCTTATTTTCTTAATGTTGAGATGTAATGGATACAGACATCTAATTTTTTTTTATCTTCATCAGTAAGTACTTAAAGTCTTCATTTTTAGCAAGCAAGTTTCAAGTGAATATTGAAAGTTGTTAATGAGCCTATCTGCCCTGATGTCTCCTTCTTCTTCATATTGTACAGGTTCTTTGAGTATTTGCCCAGCATGTAGATTGAATGTGTACAGTGTTTTTCTGCTATATTGGAGCCCGTGAAGGTAGACCTCCTGGAAGCAGGACTTCTGAACCACAAAGATGGCTGGGAGGCTTTGGTGCAAAACCACTTTTGCTGGCTATAAACAGGTCTCAGGAAGCAGAGGGAGAACACAGCTCTTCTTAATATTGAAGGTGTTTATGCCCGAGATGAAACGGAATTCTATTTAGGCAAGAGATGTGTTTATATTTGTTGCTGTTGTTGTTAAGTGCCGTCGAGTCGCAGGTGACTCATAGCGACCCTATGAAGGAGAGTCCTCAGCGCTAGAGTGCCTTTCACCCTCTCTCCAGTGCTTATGTTTACAAAGCAAAAAATAATACAGTCACTCCTGGTGGCAAACCCAACAAAACCAGAGTAATCTGGGGAAAGGTAACTCATGCCCACGGAAACAGTGGCATGGTCCAGGCCATGTTTCAGAGCAACCTTCCTACTAAGGCCATTGGACGAAGAATCTGTGTAATGTGTTATCCCTCAAGGATTTAAACTTATTGAAAAGCAAATAAAATTATGGTTATGGATTTGTTATTTAAAAAAAAAAAGAATGTGTACAGTGAAGGGATACAACCTTGATGGACAACTTTCCTGATTTTAAACCATGTAATATTCTCTTGTTCTGTTGCCTCTTGGTTCAACAGCTTCTTGGTCTAGGTCCAGGCTCTGTAAAGCTTTCTACACTTTCCATTCTTCTCAAGGTTCTCTATAATTTTATGACCTGTGCATGTAGGCATGTACCTTTGCATGGTCAATTAAAAATACAGGTAAATGTCTTTCTGGTATTCTCTGCTTTCAGCTAAAGTCCTTCTGCCTCCAGCAATAATATTCCTCGCTCCCTCACCTCTTCTGAACCCAGCTTGAATTTCTAGCAGTTCCCTCTGGTGTTGACCTCTGGGAAATCCCAGCACTGGTTCACCCTGGGCATTCCCAGCTCACTGAGAACACACCTTATACTAAGTCCCCAGCCTGGTGGGTCTCCTGGGAAACTCCCCAGGCTAGTTTCGGGGTGGGAGGCCCAAGGTGAAGCAATTTGTACTGCAGCCCCAGCACATCCGCCACACCTGGTGCCAGAATAAAGGGAAAGCAGGCATGCGCCTTCAAGGACTGGACAGCAGACACTCACAAAAGAGGAAGAGGCCCTCACTGCTAACCAGGTGAGCCTAGAAGCTGGTTCCTGGGTTAAGCCAGAGCCTTGCATGCCCACCCTGCTTCCTGCTTTCAGCTAGCTGCCTCTAGTGGTTTGTAGACAGAGCTGGTACAAGGTTGGTCATCGTGCCTATAGATCCCCAAGGGTCCCTGCTTTCCCCTCTCTGCCTGAACCTGGAATCCTAGCCTCAGATAAACTAGGAGGAAGGACCAACCTCAGGGCTGTTTATTCCCCCAGCACAGCCAGTTTAACCAGTCCAGCAGGGATCTGAAAGCTCTCACCACAGGAAAAGACAGCATTTCCTAAACTAGCCTCAGTCTACCTGTCTTGGGAATGGGTAGTTTGCTTTCCAGCCCCCAATCCTCCCTAGAGTAGGCCTTCCCTGCTTGACCTCAGCCTGGGAAGACAGGATGGGAAAGAACTTGAGGGCCAGGCGACTGTGCCCTTGCAGTCCCCTCCCTCCCTGCCACCTGTCCACAGCAAGTCATTCACCCTGGACCTTGACCATGGCAAAAGGTCCTGCTCCATTCTCCTGCTTGTGTCTTTCCTGCAGCCCTAGATCTGCCCTCCCCTAGAAGCTGGAGTCGCATAATGGTGGCCCACGGTGTCCTCTGGATCCTGCTTGGATTCCTGCTATGGCCGGAGCCGGGGACAGGTGGGTCAGAGGGCAGATGCCTGGGATCTGGGTTGTACAGAAGTGGACTATGGCCCCTTCCACGGCCAGCCCTGCACAGGAGCAAGGCCAGAGACTCCAGCACTGGGCGTAGCCTTCCGGGAACCACCAGTCTGGGGACATAGATGCTCCCAGCCCCATAAAACCTTGGTGGGGGAGGGAGGAACATGGAGTTGGGAAGCAAAAACAAGAAAGGCTTTCCTGGAGGAGGGTGTGCAGAGCTAGCATTGGAAACAGAATAATTTTACCTGGTAAAGAAGCAGAGAAGGGCACTGGGGCAAAGAGAAGACATAGTTTTAGAGGAATTACAGTGTGCACTGCCTGGAAAAGAAGCTGATTTCTGGATGGCAGACTATAAAGATGATGATTTCTTGGGTTCAAATCCTCGCTCTGACACATCCTGCCTGTCTGACCTCAGGCAGGTAACTTAACTTCTCTGTGTCTCAGGTAACTCATCTACAGAAGGACGTACCTCATAGGGCTGTTGTGAAGATAGATGAACTGAGTTCTTTAAGTTGCTTAGGACAGTTTGGGGCACTAAGTTGGTAAATGTCAGCTGTGATTCAACAAAAATCAGTTGTCACTGAGACAATTATGACTCATAGCAACCTCACGTGTCCAAACAGAGCTTCACTGCATAAAGCTTCCAAGGGTTGGTTTGTGTTTGTTGTTGTTTTTAAAGTGGATTTCCAGGCCTTTCTTCTGAAGCACCTCTGAGTGGATGCAAATCTCCAACACAGCCAAGCATTTTAACCACTGACACTGCCAGTTGTTGTTGTTGTTGTTGTTGTTGTTGTTGTTGTGTACCATGGAGTCGGGACCAACTCACAGCCGACCCTCCAGAGGGTATTCAGAGCATAGAAGGAGCTTGCCCTTCTTAATCCTGCAGAGAGGTTTGGCAGATTTGAACTGCATGGCTTTGAGTTGATTCCCAGCTCTAGATTCAGCACTTTGGGGTTTTAGGGTTAGCCCCCAACATTCCTCCCAAGGGGCTTCAGGCCCAATCTTCTCCTCCACCTAGGAAGGCTCTGGGACATCTTTCCCTCTAAACTCCTCCTAATCCAGCCCATCACCACAAACTACTCATCTTTTCTCCTCCCCGTCCGAGGACTCAGCCTTCTCCCTTCATCTCACTATTCCTTCTCTTCATCACTCATCTTCATCTGTCTCCCTTCCCTGCTTGAAGCCCATTCAGTTCGTTCTGACTCAGATCAACACTGGGGAAGGAGAACTACCCCACAGCGTTTCCAGGGTTACAAATCTTTAGGAAAAAAGCACACTGCCACATTTTTCTCCCAAGGGGATGAAAAGCCTTTCTGCTAATAGCCCAAGACTTTAAGCACTGTACCACGAAGATTCTTTTCCCTCTTCTATCCAAATCCACTATTTCAACTCATGGTGACACCCATATAACACCCCCCCAAATATCCCTTCTCCACATGGCAACCAAAAGAACTTTTTTGGGACATCCCTCTCCTGCTCATAATCCTATCATGGCTCACTAGTACTCACAGGCCAAGCCCCTTAACCAAGGCACGTCGCGAGCACTCATTGCCTGTGTGCTTCCGTTTCTTCATCCACATAGGGGCAGCATTGGGGGTCACAAGGTTGTCAGATGGGGGCATTAAGAAAGTGTGACGTTGCAGAAGGGACAGTCAGGGAGGGGTGGGGTGGAGGACCTGAGCTGATGGCTCTCTCCTCCCTTACAGCCTCCCTGCCCCTGCTCATGGACTTTGTCATCCAGGCCCTGGGTGAGCTGGAGAAGAAGGCACCTGAGGCTGCTATGAGCCCCAAGTCTGCCCCATGGTTGCTGTTAGCCCAGGACATGGACCCCCATGAGCCCCTCCACCACTTCCTGATGGAAGGGCAGGGCTTCAGAGACAGTGAGCTGAATCCCCACCTGCTGAGCCCAGAGCTTCGCGGCCTAATGGAGAAAGTTGTCCAACATAGTGTCCAGGGCGGTCAGGAGTACGGGGTGGTGCTGGCCCCTGATGGTTCGACTGTGGCCATGCAGCCACTACTCACAGGGCTAAAGGCAGGGCTGCAGGGGCACAGGATGGTGAACTTGACCTTAAATAGCACAGAACCCGCTCGAGGTGTTGGCGTTATAACCCCAGGGGTAAGAGCCACCATCCCAGGACACAGAGTGGCCTCACTAGATGTCACCTCTCGGAATGCAGAAGCCCACATATCAGATACCAGAGTCACATCTCTCACTAGTGTGGACAGCCTCCTGGTGGTCACCCTGGCCAGGGACCTGGGCCTTGCCTTTCTCCAGAACCACGCTGGCTGGGGAACAGAAGGCTGCTGGAACAAGCTTGATGCCCCCCAGAACTTCACCCTCCTGGACCCCGAAGCCTCACCTCTCACCACAGCCTTCCTCAATGGTGCCCTGGATGGGGTTCTCCTGGGAGACTATCTGAGTAGGACCCCTGAGCCCCGGCCACCTCTCAGCCTCCTGCTTAGCCAGTACTATGGAGATGGTGTGGCCCAGGAACCAGGACTCCGAAGCAACTTCCGGCGACAGAATGGGGCTGTTTTGACCTCTGCCTCAACCCTAGCCCAGCAAGTGTTGGGAGCACTCCTCCTGTTACAGGAACTGGAGCCTGCACACCCCCAAGTGCAGGGCATGAGTCACGATCAGCTGGCTCAAGTGGCTAGCAAGGCCACCAAGGAATTCACTGAGGCTTTTCTAGGTAAGCATGCCCTTCACTTCCTCATCCTCCTGTGTACCCCAAGACCATGTGTGTGGTAACGGGGATCGAGAACTGAGAGAACTCAGAGTAGACAATAAAGCCTCTTCTGCCTGGGAAGCCAGGGGAAGTGGGTATTGAGGGGGTGAACAGGAGTTCATCTGACAAAGAAAGTGGAGAGGGTCCTCCCAAGGCAGTGGGTGTAAACCTTCCTTGGTTTCTCTGAAATGAGAACGACGGAAATAAAGCCTCACTCTCTTGAATTCATTGAATGATTTAATAAGATGACTGCAATGCAGAGCAAATCTAGGAAAGCATCGGGTCCTAGGTTGTAAAGAGCCTTGATGGACTCAAAGTGATGGCTTGATGGTCATGAAAAGTCACAGCAAGGTGTCTGAACAGGTCAAGGGCACCGTTAGATGTGGTAAGATTAGATTCCAGTAGAGGGCGATGTGAGGTGAGCTAGACTCTGCCTAACTCAGGCAGGAGCCTGGAGAAAAGATCCATATACGCGTCCTAACGGCGGTGAGAGTGAGGAAAGGAGTGTTGATTCCGGCCCTGTACCCTCCCCTCCAGAATGCCCCGCCATACACCCCCGCTGCCGCTGGGACGCGGCTCCATATAGGGGCCAACCGACGCCGCTGAAACTGCCGCTTGGCTTCTTGTATGTGCACCACACATACATACCCACGCCTCCCTGCACCAGCTTCCAGCGCTGTGCGGGCGACATGCGCTACATGCAGAGGTACCACCAGGACACGCGCGGCTGGGACGACATCGGCTACAGGTGGGTGAAGGGCCTAGCGGGGGCGGGGCCGATGCGGACGGGGCGTGGCCTGATAGAGGGGCGGGGCCTGCTGGAGGGGCGGGGCCTGCTGGAGGGACTCAGACTGTTGGAGGGGCGGGGCCTGATGGAGGGGCGGGGACTGCTGAAGGGCGGGGACTGCTGGAGGGGAGGGGCCTTGTTGGACTGCGCGGGGCCCGGAGAAGGGCGGGGCTTGAACAGAGCCTAGGACACGGCCAGGGGCGGGGCCGAATCTGCCTGGGCGGGGCCTGTATCTGCGAGGGCGTGGTCTTGGGTGTGGCCTGGTGAAGGGCAGGACTTGGGCGAAACTTAAGGTTGGAGCCTTGTTGAAGAGAGTAGGGGGAATACCCTGCAAAAGCCTTAATAAAGATCAGAAATCGCTAGACTGGGTGATACTTTTGTAGGGAAGGAAGGTTTCTAAGGCTAAAGGTTACTAAGCCGGGCCTAAGACAAGGGGCGAGGCCTGTGACTGCGCCAGGATGGGGCATTGGCAGAGCATGAACAAAAGTGGTGCCTGAAATGGGCAGATGCTGGACTCCAGACACGCCCCCGAGATAAAGCGGCATGGCCAGTGCAGAGGAGTGGTGTCAGAGGACAATTGATCTGTGGGCCAGGATTTGGGCCCAGCTGAACCTACGTGCTGGAAGGGAACTGGGCGGGGAGGGGTGCCCTGGCTTAGGTGCAGGTTTAGAGTGGAGCCTCGCTGACACGACGTGGTGCCTCCTGCGGCTTTACTCCTTAGTTTCGTGGTGGGCTCAGACGGCTACGTGTACGAGGGCCGCGGCTGGTTCCACGTGGGCGCTCACACGCGCGGCTACAATTCCCGCGGCTTCGGGGTGGCCATCGTGGGCAACTACACGGCGGACCTGCCCACCGAGGCCGCGCTGCGCACCGTGCGCGACGAGCTCCCGCGCTGCGCGCTGCGCGCCGGCTACCTGCACCCAGACTACAAGATGCTGGGCCACCGCCAGCTCGTGAGCACAGAGTGTCCTGGTGACGCTCTCTTCAACCTGCTGCGCACGTGGCCGCGCTTCGCCCCGGTGAGTCCTCGGGAGCCCCACGCACAGACTTCCAACCCGTCATACGACTCATGTTGTTGTTGTTGTTGTTTACCGTTGAGTCAGAACCAACACGTAGCTGACACTCTGGCGGGTTTTCAGAGACAGTTTTCACGAGAGATTGCCTATCCTTCTCCCACAACGACTTATAGCGACCCTGTGAACAAGATCTGAGCCCTGTCCTCATCATCTCTGATACGCTTGTGTCTATTGCTGCAGTCACTGTATCAACCTATCTCGTTAGGGGTCTCCTCTCTTTTGCTGACCCTCCCTCCACCTTCCCAAGCACCCTCCCTCCATCTTCCCAAGCAAAACATCCCTTAATGGATAACCTCTCCTGGCAACATGTCCAAAGTATAAGAGACCGAGCCTCTTTATCTTTGCCTCCAAGGAGCACTCTGACTGCACCTATTCCAAGACATTTCTATATTTTTGACAGTCCATGGAATACTCAGTACTCTTCTCCAACACCACAACTCAAAGGCACCTTTGACCCAGCCTTGTCACTGCCCTCTAATCTCAATGTGCACATAACACCACTTCAGTCCACAGCCCTCTACCCCCAACCCAAACCCTCCATTCATTGCCCAGCCTCCAACACCTCTGTCCATTCAAACAAAGCATAGACCCCCTCAGTACACACAAAACAGACCACATGACCTATGTCCAAGATATAATCACTCTGCCTGTACTATCTCTTCCCAGCCCGGGCAGCTTTGGCCTGGCCCCTGCCCCTGTAAATCCCCTTTATTCAGCCCTCAATGCTGTTGCCAATCCTTTGTCCAGAGCATCTCCCCTTATTCCCCAAGTGCTAATGGTGCCTCTTGCACTGGAACAACCTAGACTGAGCCAGCACAACCTCAGCCTCACCATGTCCTCTCAGCCCCTGACTGCCAGACCTCCTTTGTTGCCTACACCTTGACCCAGTCTCCAGCTCATGCTTCCTGTTTCATTAAGTTACCCTGGCATGGCCAACTTTGTATCCACCACTTTACTTTGAAATCTTGTCTCCTTCCCCATGCAGGGCACGTCCCTAAGAATAGCATACTCAGTGTCCCATCCTCAAGCCTCATATTCATTCTTTCTCTCTCTCTCTCTCTCTCTCTCTCTTTCCTTTCTCCCCTAGGATATCAAGCAAAGAACTGCCAGGAGGGCTTCTCGGAGGTCCAGGAGGGAGCCATCCCCAAAACTGCCAGCTGCAGACTCCTAATAAAGAGACCATGGAAAGAGCCATATACATGTGTCCTCTGTGTTTGCAAGCATTGCATTAGGCTAGATGCCCCCCAAAAGCACATCCTAAGACAAAAAAAAATTCCAGTGCAATTAGTTACATTGGTGATTGATCCCTGGAAATACCAGTAGAGGAGCAGGGGAGTGAGACAGGGAAGGAGGAAAGCCAGTACAAGGTATGTAATCAAGTTCCCACTTTGTGTAACTTGGGTTCACTCTCACTGAGGACCCCAGTGAGAGATCATCAAACACATACTTCAGAGTCATCCCAGGATCTAGGGGCCTGAGGTATGGATCCTCCAACTCACATTAATCATTAGTTTCAACTGTTCCCAAGGCACTGTTAATTTGCTGACAAGTTGAGGCTGCTTATATGAACAGTATCATATTTCCCAGTGCTGCTGTAACACAAAGACCACACAGCTGATGGGTTTAAAGAACAAAAACTTGTGGCAAGAAGCTGCACTGCAATCCCAGAGGTATGCGGTTCAAATCCACCAGGTGCTTTGCCAGAGAAAGAGGGGCAATCTCCTCCTGTACCAGTCAGATCTGATTTGATAATAAAAATTTAAAAAAATATATAAAAGAAAAGAACAAAAACTTATTTTCTCCCTGTTCTAGAGGGTAACAGTCCAATCCAAGGTCTAGGGGGCATAGGCTCCTTCCTAGGTGGTAGTTTCAGGCATTCCTTGGTTCCTTCATGTTCTTTGACTTGTAGATAACACTGGCCTGGCATCTATCATTCAACACATGTGTGACTGTATGTGTATTCTGGCCCTCCTATAATGCAGAAGACTTTAGGTTTCCTCTCAACCCTATTCAGGTGTGATCTCATTAAAAAGAAAGGGGGGAGGGGAGAAATCCTATTCCCAAACAGGATCACATCCACAGACCAGAGGTCAGAATTCAGTACATGTTTGGGAGGAGGGAAAACGATATCATTCAATCCATAAAGTGCATCGTGGATTCTAGCTGCTAGCGAACGTCCTCAGGCAAAGAGGCAGGTCCCCGGAGGTAGAAGAGGGAGGCAGTGTGCTGGGAAGTGGTAATGGCTGCAGAAATACATCTGAAGGCTACACCTGCTGGGCTGCACCGAGAGACCACACAGGGCAGGCTGGCAGGAGTGGATAAGTTACATAAGCACATCTAAGGTGTATGTTGCTGGGGAAGGCGGAGAGGCAGCGGAAGAGAGGAAGACCCTCAGTGAGATGAATCGGCACAGCTGCGATAACGGGCTTGAGCAGAGCACAGATTGTGAGGATGCGGAAGGAGAGCGTCGAGTTTTAGTCTTTGTTCATAGGATTGCTCTGCATTGCGTTCAGCTCAACAGCGCCTCCCAACGAGATACGTGTACCTGCCATACACATCTGGTACCAGGACCAGAGTCTTTTTCAGCAGAGACAACCCCCCAAGGCAGGCTACATAACCTGGGGAGTGTAAGCACAAAGAAAACATGGGACCCTTGGTAAAAAAAAAAAAAAAAAAAAAAAAAAAGACCCATTAACTAGAGTAACATCTTGATGTTGCACTTGTCCGTGTGTGATAGAGCCCTCGGAGAGGATCTGCTGGTCTTGATTGACTGGTGAAGAAAGTTGGTGCCCTTGTTTGTGTACTCATCAGATACAGGCAGCACCTGGCTTCTAGAATGCATAAATTGGTAGCTGTCTTTCCTCATGATTATATGAGAGTTGGCACTTGCTGAGGGTTTTGGAAACTTACCTCTTAGGCTTTGTATGGCTACTATGAAGTTCAGGGAGCACTATTAGCCTAGTGACACGAAGCTGCTCTGCAATCCCAGCTGCTCTGCAGAAGGATGGGCAGTCTCCTCCCATGCAATTAACTGCATCTGAAAACTCGTCGGAGGATCAGCTATTGGTCAGTTCTGACTCGATGGTACACAAAAACAACTACAAAGTTCTGGCAAAGGGAAAATCCCAAAGCAACCAGTCATTGTGAAGGCCAAAGTCTTCAGCAGAAGTGTTGATGTGAAGATTAAGGGTGTTGGGAGGACCTGTGTTCTGGTGCCTTGAAACTGTGTTAATACAGGTTGGTTTAATGGTTTTTCCATTAAAAAATTAAGAATTTTTTTATTAATTTTTTTTATTTTATTGTGGTTTTTTGTATGTGTACCATCAAATTGGACCTGACTGGTACAGGAGATTGTCCCTCCTTCTCTAGCAGAGCATCTGGTGGATTCGAACCGCACATTCTGGGATTGCAGTACAGCTTCTTGCAACTAGGTCATCAGAGCTTGCCAAAAATTAAGAATTTTTAAGAAGACAACTAAACTCCTACCTCGCCCCAAAATATCCATGCCATTGAGTTGATCCTGACTCATGGCGACTTCTTTCATGTAGAGTATAACTGTATTCCATAAGAATGTCAAGGCTGTGACCTTGACATATTACCAAGCTTCTCTTAGGAGTTTCCTCAAGGTGGGTTTGAATCACCAACATTTCTGTTAGTAGCTGAGTGTTTGACCATCTGTACCTAAAAACAGCAATCACATAGGGGGTCCATTTTTGGTTAAAAGTCAAGGAAAATCATTTGCACTGCCTAAGGAGGTCACAGTGGCAACAGCAGAGCTTTAAACTAAGTTCAGGGTCCCCTGAGAATGTGAGGTTCACCTGAAGAGTGGGCAGTCCTGGTGCAACCCTTTCCCCATTCCCATCTCATAAATTCTTGTCGCACCTGCCTTTGCACAAACTTCTTCCACCTGGCACGTTCTTCCTATGCCTGACTCATGTCTGGCTTCAGATTCTAAAGTCACCTCCTCAATGAGGCCCTCTCTGATTTTTCAAAGAACATCACTTCTGCTCAGTTTAACTAAAAATGTATCGTGTTTACCTTTGAAATCTGTCCCCTTCACTGACTTGTGAGCTCTGAGTGTGACTGGTTCCCCTTGCTTCCTCAGCCCCAGTACATAGTAGCCCCTCAGGAAACACTTGTTTGATAAACAGTCTTGAGGTCTAAGTCTTTTGAAACTAGTAGCCTCATCCTGTTGTACAAATAAGGAAACCAAGGCTCAAAGAAAGGAAATGACTTGCCTGGGGTCACGCAGTGAGAAAGAGGGGCTGGCTGGCACCTGAATCACCCCCACTTCCATCTGGTTTTTGGTATTCTATTAACTCTCATGCTGACTCACGTATTTCTCAAAACAAGACTGCTCACTTCTTTTTTTCCCCTCAAGTAAACATTGAGGTATACAAGAGATACAGAAAGCACAACAACAACAAAAAAGTATGTTCTTGGTAAATTTTCGCAGTGGACCCAGATAACCTGCGCCCAACTCCAGAAATAGAGCATACTAAATTTATGTTGCGTGAATTTCAATTTTACTAAAAACCTGAGTTTTAATAATAAATAAAGATATAGAATATGACCAGAGCCCAGAGCTACTGCTCCTATTTTCCTCTCAGTCACTATCCCAACCACTGGATTCTGATTTGTTATACGTAGCTTTGTTTGCTTTTAAACTTCACAAAAAAGATCCTAGTTCCCACTCTTGTCTGTTTGGGGGCAGGGGGTTGTTTGTTCATTTCATTCAGTCATCATCTGGTTTATGAGTCATCTGAATTGAATTGTTCAGTAGTTCACGGTCATTGCTATCTAGAGTTCCCTAGAAGGAAGAGGTCCCAACGTAGACAGAATCCTATTTCCAGTTTGGTGTTTTACAAGAAGAATAACCTTACATGAAGCTCCTTATTCAAGCCATTGTTACTGTTGTTGTTGTTGTTGTTGTTAAGTGCTGTTGAGTCCTAGATGACTCATAGCGAACCTATGAATGAAAGACCTGAACATTTGTATAACTTTGGTCATTTCTCCAAGTTTATAGGGTTTCCGGAGGCATGCCATTTCAGAAGTGGATGCTACTCCTGCTTCCAAGCTTATTTTAATCAGGAAGCTCCACCAAACACTGTCCGCCATGGGTAACCATTAATACATTTGGCACATCAGTGTCACAGTGTTTAGCATCACAGCAACCACGAGTTACCTTTGTACAGCAAATGGACAGACCAGTGCTATACCACTTAGAAGAACGTTTGACAAAAAACAATTTAAACCAGGCCTGTGGGCCGCAGATTAAAATCACCCATCTTTGGCTTGGTAGCATAACTTTCTATCCACTAGGCCAAAAGAGCTCTATGTTGCCGTTGTTATTGTTGTTAAGTGCCACTGAGTGGTAGACGACTCATAGCGACCCTATGAACAAAAGACCTGAACACTTGTAAAAATGATTCAAGCCATAGCCTTTACAATTACTTCCTCTCCTCCTGAAAGTTAGACAATGAATAATGATGACGGGAGAAGAATTGATGCCTTGGGTTGGGGTTCGAGGGCTGACTATTCCAAGAACTGCCTAAAGAACAAATAATAAGTATTGGAGAAAGTGCAGCCAGAGTGCTCCTTAGAGGCAAGCATGATGAAATTTTGTCCTTGGGCATGCTGTTCGGAGGAACCAGTCCTTGGGAAAGGATGTCACGCTTGGAAAAGTAGAGGGTCAGCAAAAGAGAGGCAGCCTCTAAACCAGATGGGTCTCATTGAGGAGGTAACTAGAAATCTGAAGCCAGACATGAGCCAGGCATAGGAAGAATGTGCCAGGTGGAGCTAACAATGGACTTGAGTATACCAGGATGGTGAGGGTGGTGCAGACAGAGCAGGGCTCAGATCCATCGTTGACTGGATTGCTATGAGCTGTTGTCAACCCGACAGCACCGAACAACATGAAATATCTACAAGGGAATGCATAGATATCAAAACTTATTCTTGATTACAAGAACCAGGCCATCATGCTGGGAAGATGCAGGGTCAGTTAAAGACTGGAAGATCCTCAATGACTTGACGCAGTGGCCACAACAGTGGGCTTAAACACGGCTGAGATTGTGAGGATGGCACAGGACCTGGTAAGGTTTTATTCTGTTGTACATGGAGTCTCTTGTTGTTGTTATGTACCGCTGAGTCGCCTGAGACTCATAGCAACCCTGTTCTATCTTAAACCAATTTCATAATTTCTGATACACATATCTCTTCTTGCTGTTATTGTTAGGAGTCATCGAGTTGAGTACAACTCACAGTGACCCTATGAACAAAAGATGTGAGCCAAGGGAGCTCTAGTGGTCTGATGGCAAGTAGCTGAGCTGCAATCCTGAAGGCATGTGGTTTGAATCTGCCAGATGCTCTTCTGGAGAAGGAAGGGCAATCTCCTCCTGGGCCAGTGGGATCCGATTCGACAGCACACAGCAAGAAAAGGGGGAAAAGGGAAGGGGGGGGGAAGATCTGAGCCTTGTTCTATCCTGCACCATCCTAACACTTCCTGACACACAAGAGTCCATTGCAGCAGTCACTTTGTCAAAGAACCTGGTTGACGGTCTTCCTCTCCTTCACTGACCTTCCACCCTTCCCAACATCATGTCCTTCTCCAAGGAATAGCCCCTCCTAGCAACATGTCAAAAGTGTGTGAGGTGAAGCCTCATCATTCTTGCCTCCTAAGAGCACTCTGGCTGCATCCTCTCCAAGCCATATCTGTTAGTTCTCTTGGCCGTCCATAGGATGTTCAGTGCTCTTCTCCTGCACCACAGCTCAAAGGCATCAACTCTTTTTCTGTCATTTTAATTATTGTCCAACTCTCAGATGCATAGCAAGTAATTGGCAATACCAAGGCCTGAATCAGATGCACCTTAGTCCTTAAACTAACATCACTACTCCTCAATAATTTGGAAAGGTCCCTAACTGCAGATTTTCCCAGTATAATGCACCTTCTTATCTCCTGACTGCTCATACCAAGGGTGTTAATTGTGGATCCAAGCAAGATGAAGCTGTTAACAGTTTCTGTCTCCTCTCCATCCATCATGGCTCTGCCTATTGGTCCGGTGGTAAAATCTTTTTTCCTGACATTGAGATGCAATCTATACTGAAAGTTGCATTCCTTGATCTTCTGCAGCAAGTGCTTCAAGTCTTCCTCACTTTCAGCAAGCAAAGTTGTGTCATCTTCATTGTTGAGGAGTCTTCCTCAAATACTGATGCCACACTCCTCCTCATAGAGCCCAGCTTCTCGGATAATTTGCTCAGCGTACAGATTGAATAGGTATGGATATAGAATACAACCCTGGTGCACTCCCTTCCCAACTCCAAACCATGCAGTGTTCCCTCGCTCCGTTCACATAACAGTCTCCTGGTCCAAGTGTAGGTTCTGCATGAGCACAATCAAGAGCTCTGGGATTCCCATTCTTCTCAATGTCAGTCATAACTTGCTATGATCCCCACAGTCAAATACCTTTGTATAGTCAATAAAGCACAAACAAACATTTTTCTGATAATCCTTACTTTCAGTCAGGATCAATCTGACATCAGCAATGATACCTCAGGTGCCACTCCCTCTTCTAAATCCTGCTTGAGCTTCTGGCAATTCCCCATCTATGTACTGTTCCAGTCACTTTTTGAGTGATCTTCAGCAGTATTTTGTTTGTATGTGATATCACTGATACTGTTCGATAATTTCCACACTCAGTTGGATCACCTTTTTTTTTTTTTTGGAAATGGGAACAAATATGGACCTCTTCCAATCCATTGGCCAGACACAGCTGTCCTCCAAATTTCCTGGCATAGACTGGACTGCTGAGTGCATCCAAGGCTGCATCTGTTAATTGAAACAAATCAATTGATATTCCATCAATTCCTGGGGCCTTATTTTTTTGCCAGTGCCTTCAACGCAGTTTTCACTTCCTCCTTCAATATCATTGTCTCCCATTCATATGATACTTCCTGAAATTTTTCCGTGTCAATCAGTTCTTTCTGGTACAGTGACTCTGTGTATTCCCCCTGTGACAAGTCAATTAAAAGACACCAAAAAGCAACAAGAGCAGGAGGGAGGAGGAAATGGAGATTCATTGCTTGAATACCTCTGAGTCTCTGTTAACAGTGGTGGAATAATTTGGAAATGAATAGTGTTGATGGTTTCACAGCATGAAAGTAACATGTGAAATATGTTGAAATGGCAATATTTCTAGAGAGAGAGATATTTGTCATCCAGTTTGTTTCACACCATAGCTGACACTCAAGCAGGAAGAGACTGCCCATCTTTCTCCCTTGAAGCAGCTGGTAGATTTGAACCACCAGAGAAGCATGGCCTTTGTGTTAACTGCGCAACTGTCTACGGATAAGCCACCAGAGCTCCCAATATTTATTACGCGTATGTATTTGGAAGCAAGACCGGCATCCACTTCCTGAACAACATGCCTCCAGAAACTCTATGAACTTTGATAAATGTCGATGGCTGTAAAGGGGCTTCAGGCCTTTTGTTCATGGGGTCGCTATGAGGCATGCTAGACTCGAAGGCAATCAACAACAACAAAAACATATGTTTATATTCGCCACCATTCTCTATTCGGAGCCCTGGTGGCACAGTGAAGTCAGCACTCAAATGTTAACTGGAACAGTTCAAGCCCACCCGTGTCTCTACAGGAAAATGCTGTGGTAATCTGCATCTGTAAAGCCTGCAGCCTTGGAAACTCTATGGGGCAGTTCTAATCTCTTAGGGTCGCTATGAGTCAGGATTAACTTGATGACAACAGGTTTCATATCTCTTTCTATATATAGAGATAGATAGATATCTCGCTGGTGGCATAGTGGTTAAAGAGTTTGCTAACTGAAAGGTGAGCAGTTTAAACCCACCAGCTGCTTCAGGAAAAAGACGTGGCAGCTTGCTGTCACCAAAAGATTGCAATCTTGGGAACTCTACAGGGCTGCTCTAGTCTTCTCTGGGCGTGCTAAGAACCAGAATCAACTTGATGGCAACAATAAATAAATATTTTAAATCAAGTGGGTAGATGACACAGTTTGTACTCCCCTGCTAATTAAACGTTGATCAGGTTTTTGGGGGGTTGTTGTTGGGTTGTTGGGGTTTTTTTTAATCACCCACAAAAATTTATTAACTAGTTTAGTCTCTAAATAGATGAAAAACCATCCAATGATACTGCAGAAGAAAAAGAGCTGGCGATTTACTTCCATTGAGGTTACAACCAAGACAAATTTGACTCCAGAGCAGTTCTCCCCTATGACGCATGAGGTCGCCATGAGTCAGAATTGACGCCACCCTGGGTATTTCTGTGGGGTGCAGAGCCAGCGGAGGAAGTCCTAGGTTATAGGAGGAGTAAGTTCAGTTTTAGCAGAGTGCGCCAATTCTTTTTTCGCCCAGCAGCGGATGTGTTTCAGTTGCTCCATCCTCTCTCCAGCCTGTGCCCACTTTGCAGAAGAGACCACTGAGGCTCAGAGAGGCTGCCTCCAGGTCAGTGAGGAACTCTGGCTCCTTCAGGTCAGAAGCCTACTGCCACCTCTTCTCCCCTCAGCATCCTGCCCCTGCTGTACCCTCCCAGTCAAGTCGTGGGGTGGGACAGACAGGGTCACGTGGAATTGGGTTCAGCAGGAGGAAGCCAGGCAGGGTACACACCGCTGCTGAGTCTAGGGCCTGATCAGGACATAGAGAGAGGTAAGAGAGTTTCTAAGGGGAACGAGTGTGTGTACCCCCAAAGGGGTCCCTAGAGGCAGATCTGAGAGTGGGGAAGGGAGCGAAGGATGAAAGTAGCATGTGGGCAAATAATGACCAGAAATGCCTATCTCCCATTCCCCAGGGGCCCTGTCACCATGGACCCGTTGCCGATACACCAGTCCTCCCAACCCCAGCTTGCTGGCCCCACCTCGATGAGCTCCTACCGCTGGCACACAGGGAGCAGTGGGGAGAAAGGAGCTGGAGGCTTCCGATGGGGCCGGCTAGCAGGCTGGGGAAGGGCGCTGAGCCAACCAGAGACCACCGCCAGCAGCCAACCAGCACCTCGTTCGCTCTTCCGCCGGGTTCTCTCTGCACCCCCGAAAGAACCGAAGACCAGCCGCCTCAAGCTATCCAAGACTCTGTGGGGGAGGCATAAGAGTGCACCGTTGGAGCCGGAGCCAGGGCCAGAGCCAGAGCTAGAGGCCCCAGGTACATGGGTCCCCCCACCCTGCGCCCTGGCCGGGAAGGCCGGATGCTTGGGTTTTGTCTGCCTCCGGAGCATCAGTTCTACAGACGCAGGAAGTTGTGGGGAGTGCGAAAGCTCAGCAGGAAGTGGCTGGGGCCTGGCTGCCCTCTTCCCTCTTTCTACCTAACCCTGGGGGTGGGGGGTGGCGCTGAGGAGGCTGATATGAAGGAAATACTAGGGAGCTAGCGGCTGGGAGCCTCATCTGGGAAAGAGTTAAATAATAGACCCACAATAACACCGTCCTGATTCCAAATGGTTCTTGGCCCTGACAAGTCTCTCATAGCTGATGGACCAGGCTCAATACCTCTTACCCTCTTACTTGGATATCCACATCAGCTACCTCTCACTCTTCTGCTCTCCAGTCTGACCATTTTCTGTTGTTTATTATTATTATTATTATTATTTTAATGCAAGTTTACAGAGATTTAGGTTTTCCAGTCATTCTTTGTTGCACTTTTCTCCCTGCCCACTCCCTCCTCCCAATTCACTCTTCTCCTTGAAAAGAGAAACTCTTTCATTGTTATGCAATCCCTCCCAAGTCCACTCTACTGTGCAGCCTTCACTTTGAACTTGTGTAATGACAAGAACACCCATTCATATATCCCTTTTAAACAGTTCTCTCCCTCATCTGTTTCAATGCAATATACATCATTCCTCCCCTCTTTTTCTGTCTTCCCTCAACCCTGATGTCAGTTCCATTTTACAACAGTGGCCCTATGCAATATTTGTCCTTTTGTGACTAAGATATTTCACTCAGCATAATGTTCTCCACGGTAATCCATCTTGCATAGTATTTCATGAGTTCCTTGTTTTTCAAATTTTCTGTTATTTTTAAGCACCTCCCATCTTTGACTCATTATTTATGTAAGGGACCACAGCTGCTGCCTTGTATAATAACCTCTGGGACCTGTCTCTGTCTTGGTGAAGAGTTAGATTTGTTTCGGAAGCCTGGCTTAACCACTCACAAGCTGTGTGATGCTGGGGAAATCACTCAACCTCTCTGGGCTTTAGTTTTCTCAGTAAAAAGTCACACAAGGGTTGTTGGAAGACTAAATGAGAGAAGGAGTATGGAATAGTCATCACAGTACAGAGAAAGTGGACAGGGTACAGTTGCCAGTCATTCTTAGCCCTGACCTTTATCTTCTTGTATCTAATTATCTGGGCTCAGGGAGCACTGGTGGCCTAGTGGCAAGAAGCTGCACTGCAATCCCAGAGGTGCACGGTTTGAATCCACCAGAGGCTATGCTGGAGAAGGAGAGACAGTCTCCTCCTGTGCCAGTCAGATCCGATCTGGGCTCATCACCTCCTGCTCTCTTAGTTTCTTCACTTCTCTGAACCTCAGTTTCCCCAGCAGTCAAATGAGAACAATTATCCCCGATCAGTGTGGACAAGGCCCAGAGTGAGGTAGAGAACGTTCAGCCAGCTGGGTTGAAGGTAGGGGTGAACTCTAATAAACTTTGATAAATGTAGAGGAGTGGCTGTAGGGGAAAGAAAGGATGGCCAAGTCTCCAGTACTGTGTCCTCTGCTCAGAGCCAGGGCTGGAGCCAGAACCAGAGCCTCCTGCCCCACAGATCCCAGAGGCCCCTGCGCCCGATGTACCTGTCTGGGACATTGGGGGCTTCACCCTACTTGATGGAAGACTGGTGCTGCTTGGTGGTGAGGAGGAGGTGAGAAGGAGCATATGGGGGGGATATTTGAGAACGACTGGGAAGTGGTCTGCCTCTCCTCCTGCGTGCTTTCATGCCTCCCTTATCTGATTGCCTGCTCTCAAAGCAACAGGGTCTCCTCCGAAGGCCCCGGATGGGGAGTGGGAGCTCTGATGCCAGCATCCAGTTAGCCATAGGCAACCTCAAGGATATAGGTAAGCTTCAGGAATGGAGAGGGCTGGAGTGTTTGGGAGCCTCTCAAGATGAGTCAAAGTCTAAAATGACCACCCCCACCCCCAACTCCTAACCACTTACAGATCGGACCCCTGGAAGGCCCGAACCAGAGACTGCTGGTCCCAACCAGGTCCACAATGTTCGGGTGAGGCAACCATCAGAGGTGGAAGGAATGGGAGGAAGATCAAAGATGCTAAGACCCTCAGAACTTGAAAGGGGATTCTTGTTGTCTCATCCTGGGGAGCTCACTGCTCCTCAAGTTTCCAATTTGTCAAAGGGGCTAATGAGAGTAACTCTCTGGCATAACCTCTCAAGGTGTCTATGAGAACTCAAGGAAGAATGCAGAAATGCAGAAACAGGTGCTTTCAGAAATAGGCACTGTTGGTAGCCATTGTTATTATTCTTGCTAATGCAGCAGAAGGTCATCATGCTTGGAAGGGCAGAGGGACAGCGCAGGAGAGGAAGTCTCCAGTGAGACAGATTGACAAAGTAACTGGCATAAGGGTGGTAGGTGTTTCAGAGACAGTGAGGCTGGCACAAGATAGGGCTGTGTTCAGAGCCATTGTGCATAGAATCACTGAGTCGCAGATAACTTGATGGCACATAACAACAACAACAATGCAGATGGAACTTGTGGTCTTCCAAGCCCAGCAGATCCTCTCGGAGATGTTACAGGTAAACAAGGAGTGAGAAAGGAACACAGGGTTCTTTCCAGTTAACATCCTGCTCTCCACAGAGGTTACTCAAGAGGTTGAAAGAGAAGAAGAAATCCAAGTCGGAGCTGGGAAGCAATACTCCCCGGGATGGGTAAGGATCCCTGCGTAGCCAGGAGACCTGGAACTCAGCAGTGTCGTCCTCTAAATAATTCTTTCATTTAGATTGTCAACTATCCCCTGATGCCCACTCTGTGTCCCATGATAGGTCACAGTACAATCATTGAGGAATCGTCCACAAAGCCAGCCCTCAGTCTGAAAGGATAAAACAGAGCTAAATAGCACCCAAATACTAGACAGAGACCTACAGAGTGGGTGGAAGTTAACCAGGCCAAGAGAAGCAGGAAAAGCATTCCAGGCAGAAGGAGTATCATGTCCATATGCTAAGAGACCAGATTCAGTTTTGCAGGTTTAAGGGCTAAAAGGAAGGTAGCTAGAGCTGGAATTGAGAGTGAGGGAGTGAGAGAGATGAAGTTAACAGATTGCAAGAGCAGAGCTATATAGGGTCACACAGGGCATCTGGAAGAGTGGAGGGGTTATCCTAAAGCGTGGAGAGCCACAGCAGGTCTGGTCGAAGAAAAGGAATAGGGTCTAATTTAGGTTAAAGTCAGCCCTGCCACTCTACATCCTTGAAAGGAGTGTGTGTGTGTGTGTGTGTGTCTGTGTGTGTGTGTGTGTGTGTGTGTGTGTGTACGATAAACCCTCTACCGCCCCTCTCTAGGCCCCCCAGTGCTCTGGGATCTCGGGAATCACTAGCCACCCTCTCAGAGCTGGACCTAGGTGCTGAGCGGGACGTACGGGTCTGGCCACTGCACCCCAGCCTTCTGGGCGAACCCCACTGCTTCCAGGTAAACGCGGGCGACCCTCCAGTTTTATTTCAAGCCCAACCCTTTGTCTTTACCCCTTGTTTCAACCCCATCCCGGGACCGCTTGCCTAACAGGTAACGTGGACAGGCGGGAGTCGCTGCTTCTCTTGCCGCTCAGCCGCCGAGAGGGACCGCTGGATTGAGGACCTTCGTCGTCACTTCCAGCCAGATCAGGTCAGCGTTCTGCAGAAATCCTATCTAGCTACCCGGAGACTGCCACCCTATCCAGATGTTCCCATCCCATAATACTGCTCCTTAGATGCACTTGCTTGGCCGACTTTTGCAATCAATAAGAGAACCCCACTTCTTGGGAGTACAGCATCCCAGGCAGAACTGGGCCATTTCCGCCACCCTCTCCAAACCCCGCCCAAGGAACGCCTGTCCCGCCCACACCCTTTGCAAGGACCACAAGACACGCCCTCTTCTGTCAAGTACCAGCCGCTCCCCCTCCATATCTAAAGCCCCGCCTACCAGACAGTAGCCACGCCCCCTCCGGCAGAGGCTCTTGCAGACCTGGAGTCCCCATTTCTCAGATTGTTGTTGTCTCTTGACATCCAGTCTCTCCGACTCATAGCAACTCCACGTGTTCAGAATAGAACTGCTCCACTAAGTTTTCAAGGCTGCCACCTTTTGAAAGTTGATTGCTCCCATCCCCAGGGAGGAGATTCCAACCACCCTAACAACGAAGCTGTTAACCATTTGCGCCACCCAGAGACTCTTGTTCGATCAGGGAGACCCTCGGAAACGTAGGGCGCTTCTGCATGGCCTCACCCTCTTCCCCTCAGTGCCTGATGGCTTTCTTAGGGGCACAGAGAACGGGTTCGAGACCCCGCTCTGACTGCACCCTTCCCTCTGTAACACCTCACCCGGTCCCCAGGACAACGTGGAGCGGGACGAGACGTGGCTGAGCGTGTGGGTGCATGAGGCGAAGGGCTTGCCGCGGGTGGTGGACGTGCGCACTGAACTGTGGCTGGATGGAGCGCTGCTGGCGCGCACGGCGCCTCGAACTGGCCCGAGTCCCCTTTTCTGGGCTGAGCGCTTCCACTTCACCGGTTTACCGCCCGCTCAGCGCCTGTCGCTGCGACTGCGGGGCGCAGGCCCCGGGGGCACGGTACTGGGCCGGGTGGCATTGGCGCTGGCGGAGTTAGGCGCACCCTGCGGCCCCGCTGCCGGCCTGGAGCGCTGGTTCCCACTGCAAGGGGCACCAGCAGGCGCCGCGTTGAGGGCGCGGGCCCGAGCGCGGCGGCTGCGAGTGCTGCCATCCGAACGCTACAAGGAGCTGGCCGAGTTCCTCACTTTCCACTACGCGCGCCTCTGCGGGGCGCTCGAGTCGGCGCTGTCCGCTCAAACCAAGGAGGAGCTGGCGGCGGCCATGGTGCGCGTGCTGCGGGCCACTGGCCGGGTGCAGGTACGGAGCTGTGACCGCGCGGACTTAGAGAAGAACTCGGCATCAGGCGGCCACAAGGGGCGGGGCTGAGCCGGTGTCCAAGGGCCAGGGACACTGCTAGGGGCGGGGTCTGAGCATCAGCTTCGAGGGGCGGGAGCTGAGCAGGTTATAAGGGGCGGATCACTGTATAAGGGGTAGGGTCTTAGTGTCATTTGTGACAGCTTGGGAGACAGCTACTAGGGGCGGAGCCTGAACTTCAGTTTGAAGTGTGGGAACTTGGCGACACCTGTAAGGGGGCGGGGCACCGAAAAGGGAAGTTTGGAACGATAGCTGCAAGAGGCAGATGGTCCGTGCATCATCTTAGAGGGGCAAGTTAGGTGAAATAGGTGGAGTTTGAGGGGCACATTGGAGAGGTGGAGCAGTTGGGTCCAAAAGGCTCTGTTTTCTGCTGTGAGGGAACTTTTGTGAGCTCCAACCGTGAGGCCTCAGTAGCTTTAAGGACAAGGCTTGAAGCCCAAGTGTGATGGGTGAACCAATGGCCTGGATCCTCACCCCCCACCCCAATTTGCACAACACCATCCTTGGCTCTTTCCAGGCACTGGTGACAGACCTGGGCACTGCAGAGCTGGCACGCTGCGGAGGCCGGGAGGCGCTGCTGTTCCGGGAAAACACACTGGCCACCAAAGCCATTGACGAGTATATGAAGGTGGTGGCACAGGATTACCTCCAGGAGACCCTGGGTGAGCTGAGGGATGGGAGTCAGCGCCCTGCTGGGGTAGGCTGGGGGTCCTGAGTATCCTGGACTCTGATAATGGGTGGCACTGGGATCTTGGTGTAGGGATTAGAAATTCCCAAAGATATTAACTGTCTCTGGCGTCAGTTGGAGAGGTGGATGCTAGAGGTCATGTGCCCCAGCTTATTCTGGCTATGCTGGGCTGCAGGGCAGGCGGTTCGGCGTCTCTGTGCCTCCACTGAGGACTGTGAAGTGGATCCCAGCAAGTGCCCAGCTGCCGAGCTACCCCAGCACCAGGCCAGACTGCGAGAAGGCTGTGAAGAAGTCTTTGAGAACATCATCCACTCCTATGAGTGAGAATCAGGGCTTCTAGGACCTGCACTTACCTCTGTCCTTGGCCATGGCCCTGTTTGACGCCAGTCCCTAGTTAAGGCTGTCAGATGAAATACAGGACACTGAGTTAAATGTAGTGTAATATTTGTGGCACTGCTACTGTTCCTAGTTTGCATTAAGTTGATTCTATCTAACTGATGGCAATTTCATGCACCCAAGAGTGGAACAGCCACATTGGTTTTCTTGGCTATGATCTGAACGGAAGCAGATTGTCAGGCCTTCTCATCCACGGTGCCCATAGAGGGGCTCAAAGAACCTACATTTAGGTTTATAATTTAGCATATCACCCAGCGACCTAAAATTGATACATAAAACAAAAACCCTACTGCCTGAAAGTCTATTCCAATTCATGCTAAGTTTCCACTGGGTTTCCAAAAAGCTGTAAATGTTTACAAGAGGCGCTTTCCCGCCTTTCTCCTCCTGAGTGGCTGGTGTAGTCATGTTGCTGGCCTTTTGGTGAGCAGTCCAACATGTAGAGCACTACACCACCAGGGGTTCTGAGATGGACCCCTGGATGCCTATTTGGCACCTACTTCAAACTAAAATAATAATCTCTTGTTTATCTGAAATTCAGGTCCTGAATTTTTATTAGCTGAAATTCATTATTGTAATAATTTATTTTCTGAAATTCAGTGTCCTGAACTTTTATTAATTAAATCTGGCAATCCTACCCACACCCCTGTCCCGTGCCATTCGACCTGATCCCAAATAACTTAACCTTAGGTGACTCCATATCCCAATTCCATGCCACCTGATCCCATTTAGTGTAAAGCCTTGATCCTATGACTTCTGACTGCAGGTGATGCCATACCCCCCAACTCTGTACTCTGAACCTCAAATCTCTTGCCTCCTGAGCCCAAGTGTCTTAGGATTCCAAAGTTCTGACCTAAGTGACTCCCTACCCCAATGCCATTCTGCTTCATATCATGGGGCCTGGTTTTATGCCCAGTTAGAGCTACATCCCAACCTTATGAACTGTCTACATGGGACTCTGTATGCTCAGTTCCCAAGTCATGGGCCCCAGGGTTGTCAACCACTACCAAAAACCCTGACCCCATGCAGACCCATAATCCCAAGCATCATTATCCCAGGTGCTCTAATTCCTGGATCCAAACTACAGGCCGCTCCTGGCCCCTGACATCATGACCCTGACCACACATGACTTTGACGACCTTACCCTGTGCCTCTGACCACTGTCTCTTCTATCCCAGCTGGTTCCCAGCGGAGCTCCGCACCGTGTTCTCAGGCTGGAGGGAAGCATGCAAGGCACGTGGCTCTGAGGCACTGGGCCCGCGGCTAGTATGTGCCTCCCTCTTCCTGCGACTCCTGTGCCCTGCCATTCTGTCACCCAGCCTCTTTGGCCTGGCCCCAGAGCACCCAGCACCTGGCCCAGCCCGTACCCTCACGCTAATTGCCAAGGTCATCCAGAACCTTGCCAACCATGCCCCGTAAGTTCTGGGAGGTCAGGCTCTAGGTGGGAGTGGGAGAGAACGCACTGGTTGGTGCCTGACCTGACCCACTCAGCCTGGCTCCATTCAGGTTCGGTGAGAAGGAGGCCTACATGGACTTCATGAATAGCTTTCTGGAGGATCGAGGCCCAGCCATGCAACGCTTTTTAGACCAAGTGGCCACGGTGGATGTGGATGCAGCACCCAGTGGTTACCAAGGTGGCAGCGACCTGGCTTACCAGCTGGCAGTCCTTCATGCCCAGCTCTGCACCGTCTTTGCTGAGCTTGACCAGGTGTGGCCTGAGAACCTGGTACAGAACACACGTGGGGAGGCAAGGAAGCAGGGCGTCTCTGGCCCCAGCAAGCCTGCTCAACTGCCTCCCCTGTGCCTCACCACCAGGCCACCCGAGACAGCCTGGAACCTCTGCCCACCATCCTGCGAGCCATCACAGAAGGCCGGCCTGTGCCTGTGTCGGTGCCAATGCGTCTCCCACCTCCTCCAGTCCAGGTCCATGCCAGGTAACCCGGACTGCCCCGAATCTGCTCCAAGTTCCAGTGAGAGGTCCAAGGGAAGTTTAGGGCCAGAGTGTGGTCAGATGTGAAGACATGATCATGTCAGGAATCAGTGTCAGACACAGTGCTGGACAGAGGTCTGAGGCTGGAGAGAGTCATGCCAGTGGTCAGAGAGAGGTCACCTTTAGGGTCAGAGAGAGAAAATGAACTTGTGGTCAGAAGTAAGAGTTGAGTCTTAACTAGAAGTTGGGCATGGGGTCAAATCAGGGTTCAGTTTGGGGGTCAGATGCTAAAATGTGGTCAGTAAAGGTCAGGGATAAGTTCACATTGTAAAAAACAGAACTCAAGCTGAAAGTCTTATGGAATACAGATTATGAAATAGGGTTACATCAATGATTATCAATAGGCACACATTTGATGACAGAGGTCAGGGCCTACTCTAGAGTCTGTCCTGAGGCAGGAAGAGAATTGGTTTAAGGTCAGAGGAGGAGTATAAGGCCGTGGGAAAAGAAGAGAGTGCCTTTGCAAACAAAGTCCAGGTTCAAGATCAGGTTGGAATGAGAAGTTCCATAGAGGGTCAGGTCAAGGGTGGCAGCAGTCAAAGATCAGGGCTGAAGCTGTTGTTGTTATATGCCATAGTGACCCTGTGTACAACAGCCCTAGACCCTGCTCTATCCTGTGCCAATTGCACTGCCTCTGACACATCCATCCCGATTACCCCAGTCACTGAATCAATCCACCTCACAGAGGGCCTTCCTCTTCTGCGCTGTCCCTCCACCCTCCCAAGCATGATGTCCCTCTCCAAGGACCGGTCCCATCTTACAACATGTCCAAAGTATGTCAGACAAAGCCCCAGAATCCTTGCCTCCCGGGAGCAGCCTGGTTTAACCCTCTCCAGGATGAATCTGTTTATTTTCCTAGTAGTGCATGGTACCCTCAATACTCTTCTCCAGCACCACAGCTCAAAGGCATCAATTCTCCTTCTATCCTTCCTAGTCATTGTCCAACTCTCTGATGCATAGCAAGTGATTGCAAAGACCAAGGCCTGTATCAGATGCACCTTAGTCTCCAAAGACACACCGTTGCTCTTGAGTTCTTTAGAGAGGTCCCTAACAGCAGACTTTCCCATTGCAATATGTTTTTTTATTTCCTGGCTGCTGGTACCAAGAGTGTTGACCGTGGAGCCGGTTGTACACAGGGTTTTTAGAGGCCTGCTATTTCAGAAATGAATGGCCAATCCTTCTTCCTAGTCTGTCTTAATCTGAATGTTTAGATTTAGAGGAGTATCTGACAGAGAAGCAATTTATGGAGCAGTGAAAGATAAATCCCTCACTGTGGAGTTAACCATTAGTTACAGTGTTGTCCCTGCTCTTATAGGCTGAAGCTAGAGAATGTTAAAATGGGTCCACATCAAGGGTCCTGGCCTGTATTGTCGTCAGAAACTATGGAGAGAGTCAGAAGGCAAGACGAAGTTCTCATAGAGGTCAAGGTCACACAGAAATAAGACCAGGAGCAGGGCCATTTCTAGACCCCTCGAGGGCAGAACATGGACCACCTCCTCCTGTGTGATTTACAACCCAGCCATGACTCAATGGCAAATGAGGTGTTTTGAGATTGAGAAATGGAGAAGATGCTGGAAGACTGACCTATAAGGGAGTGCTGGTGAAGAATGCAGCCTGCAGTGAGTTGCACCGGTCAGAGCCTCTCAGGCACCTGTAATCCAGCAGCTCCGAGGGTGAAATGAAAGGTGGGCACTTTCCTCTGAAAACCAGCTGGAAAGTTAGCTATGAGTGGAAGGCAGTGAGAGTAGAGAACTGATTAAATGTTGGTGATTTGAATTTACCCGAGTAGTACCACTGAAGAAAGTCCTGGTGATTCACTTCTATAAAGATTTAAAAACAACAACAAAAACAACAACAACAAAAAAAAAACCAAAACAAAACAACAACAACAAAAAAAACACAACCAAACAAACACAAACCAACAACAACCACACACCACCTCCATGGAGCAGTTCCAGTCTAAGAGCCACGGTCCTCATGAGTGGACCCAATCCTCTAAGCTACAGGTTCGATTTTGATTGGAGGTGCATTTCTGACGCCAGGTCACTTTAGGGATAGGGTCTTTTTTAGGAGTCAGTTGAGAGTCTCAGTCTCCCACCTCCACCCCCCCCCAGCTTCTCCGCAGGGGAGAAGCCTGGCTTCCTGGCCCCTCGGGACCTACCCAAGCACACCCCCCTCATCTCCAAGAGCCAGTCCCTGAGAAACGACCACGGCTCGGGGGCTTGGGCCCGGAGGCGACCGGACGAGGAGCTCCCAGCGCGCAGGCCCCGGCCTGTGCAGCGAACGCAGAGTGTCCCCGCTGGCCGCCCCGCCTGCCGCCGCCCGTCCACAGGGCCCCGGCCGCGACCCAAGGGATCCCTGCGCACCGGTCCCGCGCCCCGCGGCCGACCATGGACCGGGATCTCCTCGTCCCTGCCTCGGAAATCATCTGTGCCCTGGCAGCGCCAGTTGGATCAGCCGCGGGACAGAGACCAGATACCCGGCAAGCACCGACCGGTGGGCAAGGTGAGATCTGACCCAGGTCCACTCAAGCGCTGGAGGAGGGCGCAGGGGGAAAGGTTCATACGCCGAGATTGCTGTGTGAGCCCGGGCCCTCTCTGTTTCCTCCACTGTACTAAGAGGCAGCGATGCTCCTTAGCCAAGCAGGGCCGAGGTGTAGGGGAGCGCGCCGGCCACGAGTGGGAGGGGCGGCACCGCACGGTAGGTGACAGCTGCCCGCTCCCCACAGCTGGCCGAGCTGCAGAGCGAGGTGTCTGCGGTGCGCGAGGAGCACAAGGAGCTGTCCAGCCTCGTAGAGGCTCTGGGCGCCCAAGTCCGGACCTTGGCGGAGCAGCAGGAGCACTTTCGGAGGCAGCTGCAGGACCTGGACACCAGGTTCAGCGCAGGGTGAGCGATGTCTTCTGCAGACCGTGAAGGCCTCTCGCACTCCTGCAGGCCCCGCCCCTTCATCCACCCGCCCCCAGACGGACCTGCTCCAATCAGACCTGCCCAGACCCCTGGGGCTCACAGGTCTACTTTCCCGCCCTGTCTCAATCACTGCAGGCAGAGCTTCACGCCCTTGGTCAGGCACACCCCCTTGGTCACCCTTTCCCCGGGTGGCCCTGTCCCTTAGGTCACTAGGCCTCTCGTCTAGACTCCATCTCCAAGTCAACGCATCTCATCCAGGCTGACCCTTCGTGAGGTCTCTCCTGGGTCCTGGTAAAGGTCCAACCAGGGGGCTAGTCAATCATCCCCACCCCTGTGTTCGCTGACCTCTCCCCCTCCTCTGGGACAGCACCAAACAGCAAACAACAACCCTCCAGCCAGCACAAACCCACCCCATCCCGTGGGTCTCTGACCTTCCACTGAAGAGCTGGAAGGGTGCTCTTCAGGCTCTGACCTGCCCCCCTCATCTCTGACCCTCACAGGATCTTGCAGTTGGAACCAGAGAGGAAGGCTCTGAGTAGTGATAGTCATAGGCTGAAGAGTCTGGTGAGACCCCCCTGCCCGAGATCTCTGAGGGGCAAGAGCCAGAGGTGGGATGTAAGCCCCCGTGGCTTTGAGCCCACCACCCTTACTGCCCCCTCAGGAGAACCGCTTGGCTGAGATGGACCACACTCAGGCCCAGTTGAAGGATGCCCTGCAAAGCCTCCAGCTTCTGCCCAGGACTCCGGGGACCAGGAACCAACCCGGGCCTCTCAAAGCACCCTGCTCCAACGGAGACACCACCTGAACTCCCCACTCCACCCTCCATGGTCGGGGAGCAGCGATGGTGACCCCTACTTCAGCCCTATGTGGCCTACCATGAGGAGCAGAGCTGCCTTTCTGGAATTATGAGGCTGTCCAGTAAAATCTTTATTTCCGTAAAATCAGTGGTTTCTCTGCCCATCAGAAAGCAAGCTCCTCCCCTCACCATTCCCAGACGCTACCTTAATTAGCAGGGGTGTCACATGTAAAGGAGAGTCTCCCTGCTATGGAACCTTAGGCCTTCATCCTCTCAGCCTGTTTCCTCATCTGTAAAATGGATCTAAACTTCTCTACACAGTGGATGAATCACAGTTCAAGGAGTCCAATAAAAAGCGGTACCTACTTCCCACCCAAGCCCTATATCCTATCCCCAAAACTCCTCAGACCCTCAAAGGAAAAAAAATCTTCCTAGCCTCCCCCAGCCCCCATCTCCCAAACCAGGGAGAGATGCTGAGCTTCCTCACAATGAAGGGGCATGGATCTGCCCTTTGGAGTTGTCTGGGAAGTAAATAATGAAGGGAAGGATGCTGGGGGGTATGGAGAGATGGTTAGATCCTTCAGTGAATGTGTGTGTAAATGATCAATTCATTTGAATCATGGAGGTAGTGGAAATGTGGGTGAACGGATTAGCCTTTGCTGGATGTTTGAGTTAGTGGGTGAATGGATGGTTCATTAGACAGGATGGTATGTCTGCCTAGAAAGATCTGGCTCATCATCATTGTTTTTGTTGTTGTGCACCATGAATAGGAACCAACTCATGGGTGACCCTCTGGTAGGTTTTTAAAGGTAGCTAATCTGCAGAAAATGTATTGCGATGGGAAAGTCGGCTGTTAGGGACCTCTCCAGGGTACTGAAGAGCAATCGTGTCACTCTGGAGACTAAGGTATGTCAGATACAGGCTATGGTCTTTGTAACCACTTACGTTGCATCAGAGAGTTGGACAATGACTAGGGAGGATAGAAGGAGAATTGATGCCTTTGAGCTGCAGTGCTGGAGAAGAGTATTGAATGTACCATGGACTGCTAAGAAAACAAACAGATTCATCCTGAAAAGGGTCAAACCAGGCTGCCTCCTTGGAGGCGAGGATTCTGGGGCTTCGTCTGACATAGTTTGGACATGTTGTAAGGAGGGACAGGTCCTTGGAGAGGAACATCATGCTTGGGAGGGTGGAGGGACAGCACAGGAGGGGAAGACCCTCTATGAGGTGGATTGATTCAGTGACTGGGATAATCGGGATGGGTGTGTCAGAGGCACAGGATAGAGCAGGGTTTAGGGCTGTTGTACATAGGGTTGCTATGAGTCTCAAGCAACTCGACAGCACATAACAACAACAATCTGCAGGAGGAGATTGCCCTCTCTCATGCAGAGCACCTGGAAAATTCAAACTGTGCATCTTTGGGCTGGCAGTACAATTCCTTACCATTAGACCACCAGAGCTCGCTTGCCTTTTAGTGGGAAATAAATATTACTTGTATGTGCTCGGTAGGGTGGAGAGACAGTGCAGGAGAGGAAAACCCCGGATGAGATGTATTGATACAGTAACTAGGGCAATGGGGGTAGATATGTCGGAGTTAGTAAGACTGGCACAGGACAGGGCCAGCTTCACAGCTGTTCTACATGGGGTGGCTGTGAGTTGCAGGCGACTTGACAGCACATAACAGCAACAAACAACATATATTGTACATGTATTTATTGAAGTTGACTGAGATTCTGAGTAGGATACTGAGGAAAAATAATGAACTAGGCAGAGAAGATCCCTGTCCTCACTGAGCTTTTATTCTAGTAGAAGAGACAGATAAATTACCATGTAATTGTTGGGTGTGTGGATGAATGATTGGGTAGCAGGATGGATGGAAAGCTGTGCTGGTGGTTACTTGGTTGTGTGAATAAATAGCTAAATGTTGGGTGAGAAGATGGATAAACAGATTACAGGGTGGGTTGGGCAGGTCTTTGGATGGGTTGATATGTGGGGCTCTGGAAAGAGCTTGATCAGAATCAGATTAAGTAGAATTAGATTGATAATGGTTGAGTAAATAAATGGGAGGTGGTTAGAAGAGAAGATGGATGATTGAGTAGATAAATGAATGGGATTAAGTGATCAATTGCATGACTAGAATGAGGAGATAGAAGGGTGATTTGGACAGGTGTTTGAATGGGTAAGGGAGACACTGAGAGTGGTTAGGTAGTGGGCTCGTGAGCAGATAGATATGTTGTTGTTATGTGTCATTGAGTCGCTTGCGACTCATAGCGACCCTATGTACAACAGCCCTAAACTCTGCTCTGTCCTGGGCCAATCGCACTGTCTCCGATAACACCCATCCCAATTGCCCCAGTCACTGAATCAATCCACCTCATAGAGGGTCGTCCCCTCCTGCGCTGTCCCTCCACCCTCCCAAGCATGATGTTCCTCCCCAAGGACCTGTCCCTCCTTACAACATGTCCAAACTATGTTAGACGAAGCCTCAGAATCCTTGTCTCCAAGGAGCCGCCGGGTTTAACCCTTTCCAGTATGAATCTGTTTGTGTTCTTAGCAGTCCATGGTACATTCAATACTCTTCTCCAGCACCACAGCTCAAAGGCATCAATTCTCCTTCTATAGGAAGTTAATTGATTGGGTGAGCTGAATGTGTAGATGGTTGAACAAGTGGTTGGAGGATTGAATGGATGGATGATTCACTGATTGGGTGGGATTGGTTGGTGACATCTGTGAAAGAAAGGGTGGGGAGATTAATGAGCAAGTAGATAGGATGAGTTATGGAAGGGTTTGGATGAGAGGATGACATGTAGATAGATAACTGGTCAACTAAATAAGCCAGATGCTTATTGAGTGGTGGATGGGTAGACTGGATGGATGAGTGGGTAGATAGTTGGAGGGGTGAGTGATGACTTGACTGGATGGGATTAGTTCATTGATGTGGTATGTAGTCGTACAGTCCAGAGATGGACCCATGGCGGATGTGCATGATGAAGAAAGACGTGGCACTGAGGATCTAGGCCTGCTCTGGGAGCACAGAGGTACTCAAGTCCAGTGACAACAAGGTAAGGAAAGAGTGAGTTTGTGGTCAGTAGTTTCGAGGTAGGGGTCTTAAAGGCTAAGGACTGACTGGACAGAGTTGATGATCCATGGGGAGACTTCACTGCCATCCCTCCTTTTTTCTGATCCATAGGGTCTACCTATGAATAATCAATGGAATGAGGGGGAGTCACTGGGGGCAAAGGGACTAGGGTGTTGTCATGGTAACAGAACCTCTCTCTGGACTCTCAGGCCGCGCGGGCCCTTTAAGGGTGACCCGCTGGCCACTCCCAACATGGCGGCGCACCCGTAGGCTGCCCCCCCCTGGGCGGCGCAGAGGGGGGGAGGGGGGGATTTCTGGACCTCCCCATCATGGCGGCGCGGCGGGGCTGTCGCGCTGAGGTCACGGCGGCGCGCCGGGGGGGCGGGGCGGCGGGGGGAGCGATTTAAAGGGACAATGTCCCCCGAGCGGTGGAGGCGGCGGCAGCTGCGGAGGCCGCGGCACCGGCACCGGGAGCGGTAGCGGCGGTCTCAGCAGCGACGGCCGCACCAAGCAGCGGAACCCCGAGCCTCGGCGTCCCACGGGCGGCGTCGCATCCCCGGTGAGGCCCGGCCCGGCCCG